TGCCCATGGGGCTTTAACATGCTAGGTACTATATGGAAGAGCAAAGGAAAATGCTATCTTTTCTCGTAAAACTTCAATCTTGAACCACACTGCTTTTGGAAGGAAAGCCAAGGTTGGCTTGCACGGTGCTCTGATGTGAATATTTTGGTTAGGGTGTGCATTTTTCCTGAATGTCCCATGTGGAAGATGCATCTTGGCTGGTATATTGGTGCCTGGTACCAGATGAGGTTTTTCCACCTTCTAGCATAAAAGACTAGCTCTAGCAGTTAAAAGGACTGCCATGTGTAATTGCAGGGTGGTTGTACTGCCTTAACTTCACTAGTGTAGTTTAATGGTACAAATTATCGTTACAGACTTAGTTTTGTTCGTTATGTCAAATCGTTCCACAGTCTCGGGGGCTTCTGTTTATAAAGTGATTCTGTGCAGGGTTATTGCTGAATCTTTGGTTCTAGGTCAAGGTTTCTTGTTTTGTTTTTTAATTTGTAACTTCTGAAATCCCTCACCACCCCAATCCATGTAAATGTGTGGTCAATGCTTCTGCATATTTTTCAAGGTTTTTTTTCCCCCCCTAAAATGAAGTAAGACGTTATCTTTGATCAAAGCTTTGGTCTACTGGTAGTAAATATCATACCTATTTCAAGCTTTGCAAGGCATTCTTTAATTAGTTATATCCTTTCTGCTCCTATTCCAGTCTTAATTTGAAGTCAAATCCCTGGTTTACTAAGTCAATTTTAGAATCCAGTACCTCCCTCTTATTCCCAGCTCATTCTGAAGATTGAATTGCTGTGGCATTTTACTTTTATTTACCTTGCTCCTCCTCCACCACAGCATCTGCCCAAAAGTGTGTTGCAAAGAGAGAGAAACAACCCTCCAGCTGGGACAACATCACAGTCTGATTTCTAGCTCAGGTAACCGAAGGATATGTTGGGAATATATGGGCGATCAAGAAAGGAGAACAGCAAAAGCAGTGGGTCCCAGGCTCCTGGGCTGCTCAGCCCATATGAAAGACTTCAGAAATGACGTACCGCTTTGGGGAGCCTAACCTACAGGAGCGAATGTGCCGAATTGGCTTCCCCGCTTAAGGATTGTCCTGGCCTTGGAAATGGCCCCTGTGCTTGTCCTTGAGCCAATTCCTAATGAATGGCATGGTTCATGGGCAAAAAGCACAAAGGAAAAGGAAACCTCTTTTCAAAGGCAGAGCTGCAAAGACTGAATAAGTAGTAAGCTGGAGCTGGCTTTTATGGGAACTCTGAAATTTGGCTATAACTAGAGGTAGTATATATGCTGCCTAATTTCCTGGCATCTAGGGAATCACTAAGATGAGTGTGTGGTGGTGAGATGTGCTTGCATTCAGCTCCTGCAGAATTAGCTCCTATCTGCAAGAAGGGGATAACACCACAGATGTCTAGGGAGGTCAGTTTGAGGATTTATTAACCTGAGTGTGAGGTAAGACAAATGGCCTAGTACACAAGCTGGCTACACCTTGAGAGAGAGTTCTTAGAAATCACTTATCTACTGCGTATTAAATTCGCATTGCTGCATAATCCAGTTGCGACTCAGACCCACCTCTAGCTGCCTTAGACTGAAGTGTTCAAACTACAGACAACGGCCTGTAATCTGACTTAGCTGCGTAGATCAGCCAAGCTGCTAAGGCGGGCGAAATGGCTCTTGGCTGGAGGTGGAGGAGCGAGGCAGGACGTCAGTGGGCGAGGGTGAGCGAGCCTCCGCGATGGCCCGGCAAAGCGCGGTGCCGACGCGGCCGAGCTGTCCCTCCAGCTCCCCGCAGCCGGAGCAGCCTGCCTTCTGCGCCCGCTTCCCTCCGCTCTTCGTTTGGCTTTGCAGAACAAGGAATTGCTTTTAACAAGAGGCCGACGCTTTGCTGGGGGTTGGCTTTTCTCCAAGCGGGGCTTTGTCCCTGGGTTAATGGGAAGCTCAGCGGGGCGAGAGCTGCCAAGGCCGTTTCATTGGACTGCTCTTAGCGTCCCTAAGTAGGGCTCTTCCGTGAAATATTGTAGGAAATGTGAATATGGAAGGGCGGGGGGGGGGGGTATTAGTGCTCAGGCAAGTCTTTACTCCAGCAATTAGAGCAAACCTTCTTTATGAGATCTGTGCCAAAGGCTTTTAGCTCACAGCTGTTTCAGGGCTACGGTCACCCAGAGAGAGCTGCTGCTGAATACGTCTATGGAGCAAATGCTTATTGGGCTACGGGTGGCTGGGACACCTGAAAAGCGAAGGCTGCGGAGCCCTTACTGAAGCATAGCTAACAGTGGTTGAGAGCCACACAGCTCTGCTGTCCCCACGACACCGTGCCCACCCACGCGCATCGGAGCTCACCACCCTGCACAGCCACCCAGCAGGGCTGCGTCCCCGAGGAGCGCAGCATCGCGTGCCCAGCTCAGGAGCCCGCTGGCTCTGAGGGCAAGAGTACCTGTAAAAGCCCTGCCCTGGAGAGCTCGGCTCAGCTGGAGTCAAGTGTTTCCTCTTGCACTGTGTTTAACGTGGTTTAGCGCCTCTGGGGAGAGCTGCTGGGGAGCCTGACAGCCTACGTGTGTTGAGAGCAGCGTTAGCCTCTTGCTTTTATAGCCGATGCTGCAGTAGGAGAGCTTTGGTGCACTGGGGAGGGGTGGGATTCCCCGGGCCGTCCCCTCGGACGGCTGTGCCAAGCCGCTGCGGGGCTTGCCCACAG